TTTTAAACGGTAACTGTAACGGAATACAGTTACTCATATTTTGTATTTTAAATACGTAACGGCGGTACATGTATTCCATTACTCCCCAACACTGACTATGTATTCTGACATCTCCAGAACCACCATTAACTTTTACAGAAATTTGCTACGTTAGCTTATCTCTAGAATTGGACCAAATGGGTCAGCCTTCACTCTCCGTGTTTATCAGTGAACCCTGGCTCACCATTGTTCCTTCCTTGGACCACTTTTGATAGATACTGACCTCTGCGGACTGGGAACACCCCGCATAAGCTTCAGGTTTGAAGATGCTCTGACAAACAGCCCATTTTCCCTGCTTGTGACACATCAATTTTTAGAACAAAGTTCATTTGCTCCCTAATAAATCCTGCCATGATGAACAAATACTGAGTGTTATTCACGCTACCTTTTAGTGGTCATGTTATGCCTGATCATTGGATGTTCTCCTGTTATAGTCTGTACATACCAGGGAACAAACAGGCCCCGCCTCCACCACTAGCCCACTGTTCTGATATTTATCTGACTGTTCACTATTGACCGCCCCTGATGCTCCACTTTCTTTCTTTCTCTGTCAGACGCCACTGACCTTTGTTGCATAAAACAGTACACCCAGCAGGAGGTCTCCCTGGTGAATACAGTGGGTCTCAACCTGCTGATTAACAAAGCAGGGGTTCTGACCAAAGGCCCCCTGCAGGGTGGCAGGCCAGAGAACATGCAGACTAAAGTCCACAATAATGTTGAGCATCAAAACAAGGACTGAGGAGGATAAAATACTATATCTAAAGCTGTCTTGTATTTTTTAAATTAGAAAAAGCAGACTTTAACTCTTGCTCCTTCTGGTCCTCATCATTAGATTGCATTTCCCCTTTAGAAGAAGCTCTAAAATCGCATGCAGAGGAGATCAAGTTTCCAGTTACATCTTGTATAAAGGACGCAATAAAATAATGTAGAGGGACAAGAATGATCTCAGAATATGATCATTTTATTAATTAAGGACAATTACCAAGCAATTATGTTCAGCATTTATACAAACAATGGTTGCGTGTATGCGTCATCATTGCATGGAAAACAAGCTGTTGCAGAAGTCACTGTACAAAACTTAAAGACTTAAAGACACACTTAGTCAGATAAACTAAAACTGTATAATTTTTTATAAAACAGTTGCTGCAAAGCCATTAAATTCAGAATGGTCACGTATGAAAAAAGTTCAGGTCAGATGAGTGAAAGTGTGTGTTCTAATGATTATACCCGCAGTGAATGACAGATCTGTGTTACATTTGAACCGGGCGGGAAAAAGCAGAACTCAAATCATCTGTGACACTCGCATGAGGTTGTTTGTGTTTTTCTGAACTAGAAGTGAAAATAATTGTGTTCCAGTGTGAGGAACCACTAGGGGGATATTGATGTTCATGACAGTAGGCAGGAGATTCTTAGTGTGACAGCCTGCCCGGCTGAGAAGTATAATGGAGCCTTGCTGCATAATTATTGCAACTGCGTCCCCTTGTTCACTCTAAAGAGCCTCTTTTGGCTTCGTAACCTGCAGTCAATCACTAAATGAACCCAAGTGAAATAAACCAATTACTGCTGTCATCACTCAGCTTGTGTCGTGCTCATTTTACCAACAATCATGCACTGACATAATTTGCTTAATCATTTGATTCACACTTGGGTCATATAATGAATTTCAATTCTACTGATGTCCTTTCTAAGGTCCTCACTAATCACCACGTCGCGCTGTTCCACACAGCCACCTTGGCGGGGCAGATCTTAAGAGGTTTGGGGTTGTTTCCATTGATGTTGGCACCAGGGCAGAAGAAGGGGTACATCTTCTGAGTGAAGAAGTCATTGAAAGTGTAGATGGGTGTCATATTGACAGGGTTGGAGAAGATGACCTCTCCAGAGTCGTAGTCCAGCTGCACCCTTACTCGAGTTAGCTCCCCCTCCAGATGCAACGGGGTGCTGGGCCTCGTCATGGCTGAGTACTCCCCCTCAAAGTATGAGATCATCCAAAAGCCGCCCTTGGGACAGCCCGAGATGCGGCCCTTCCTGTCAATGGACTCTTTGACCACCCCGAGCATCCACTCCACTTTGTCGCCCACCTCTACCTCCCAGGCGTGACGGCCTGATGTAAAACCCTCTGAGCCCAGAACAAACACAAAATGACCAAACCGTTCAGGATTGTCTGGGAGATGCTGCAGGGATCCGCTGTTGGCCACACTGGTCAAATCCGAGGTGAGGGATAACCAGGAGTAGGCAGTGTTAGGATCCAAGGTGATGGGTGCTAAAAGATTACACATAGTCGATGATTAAGAAGAAGAAAGAAATTCGAGATACGTTGAATTGTTTAAATTCAAAGATCTCTAAAAAAAATAAATAAATCTTCCTTGGTGATGTATACAAGAATGTGTCACAGAGTCACATGAGTTCTTACTGTACTGAACCAGATCCAGCATTTTCTCCCACACGTGGTACTTGAGGGAACTGACATGCTTGGCCACATTTATAAGAGCACCTGAGACTTTTTCTGGATTCTTGGGTGGGATCTGTGCTCTGTGAGAGGTAAAAGAAACACAAAAAGAAAGTAGTGCTGAATCACTAGTGTTGAAGCTGGCATGACGCTGCCAAATACTTTTTTAAACCTCCTACCTTTTCTTTGTGTTTGTATAATTCTGAAATAAGGAAAGAAAGAGTTATAAACAGTGTGTTTCATGGCATGGATGTGATGCGGAAAACCGTTAAAATCTGCTCACCTGAAGGAAATTAACATCATTGGATGCAATCTCGTTCTCAATGGCAATGACAGCATGAGAGAAGGTGAGGATATCTCTGGCAATGCTGTCAGACTTCTTCTTCACTAGCTCTTTCTTCTCTTTATCGTCTTTCTGCAGAGTGGCCAGCCGTTCCTCCTCCTCCCTCCGGAGAAACTCCCGCAGCTCCTCAAACTCCTCTTTTATCTGCTTTTCTGTGGCCTGAGTCTGGTTCTACACATGGGAATATGGATCAGTGTAAAAATTAATTTCTAGTCGAATTTTCTTTCTTTATCCATACTTCCTCAAAAGGGACTTGAGGTGCAACCCACCAGCTTATACCAAAACATAATGTCCCAGAAGTGTTCTGTTGGATTTATGTTAGGCGAGAGTGAGGGTCAGGGTGTCATATTGACGTGCTCATTTGTCAGTGGTATCAGTTCCTTCGTGGTGCCACTGCCTAAACATGATTGTTTCATCATGACATTCACACCAGTGGGCTGCTGGAGGTTATTTCGTAGGACTCCTGCAGTGCTCATCCTGTTCCTCTTTGCTCAAACGAGCAAATAGCGGTCCTGCTGACAGGTTAAGGACTTTCTACGGCTCTGTCCACCTCTCCTAGAATAACGTCCTCTCTCCTGGAATCTCCTCCACACTACTGAGACTGCACCAGGAGAGACAGCAAACCTGAAAATGGCACATGTTGATGTACCACCCTGGAGGATCCAGACTACCTGTGCAATCTGTACAATCCGGGTATTGCCTCAAACCACAAGTAGTGACACTGACCCTAGACAAATGCAAAACTATTGAAAACCAGAAAAGAATGGAACAAATGTCAGTGGCCTCCACCTGTAAAACCATGTTTTTGGATGGTTGCCTCACTGTTGCCCATCTAGAGTACCTGTTGTTAATCTAATTAACATCAAGGCAACTGGAACTGACCATCAACCCTCTCTGATACTTAACTGACCAGAGCAGTATCCTGGAAGTTTATCTGATTTCATGTTAGACATTAACTTTTTTGAGAAGAACATTTCACCTGCTCTGAGACATTAGCTGACATATTTACACACTTAACATTGCACTGCTCAACTTCAGTCACTGTTACGTCAACTTCAACGTCCTCTAGTGTTTCGTGGTATCTGAGTGTTTATTGATACCTTGATGTGCACAGTTGTGTCATCACACTCCTGCTTGGCTTCATAGAGGCAACGCAGGTTTTTCTTCAGAGGAATCAGCTCATTTTTCAGCTCTGCCTGAAGAGCGAGGATAAAGAGTCATATTTATCTTATTGCACATTGAACAATGTTAACAGTTTTCTCCGTTTGCAAAAGTATCACCTTCTTCAATTTGAAAGCAGTAAAGTGACATTTTCAAAGGAGGACTAAAAGGTCAAAGGTAGTTTGCTTAAATGGCAAATAGTTCAACTGTATTTATGTAGCTCCAATTAAGAATAGCAGGTGCTTATTTCATAAGGTGAAAACCGCACACTATACGAGAGAGAGCTCCAATTATTATGTGAACCTCTATAAGCAAGCGCTTGGTGATAGCAGGAAGGAAGAACTCCCTTTTAACTCCTTCCAGCATAACAAGGATCTGTGCGGGGTAGACATCTGCTAAAGCTGGATGTGGAACAGGAAAGGGAACAAAAGTACAATACCTTAAGATCCTGAGCACCTTCTTCTATGGGACACACTCGATGTCCGAGGTGCTTCTTGGAGGTGTGACACACACAGCACAGGACTTCAAAGTCATCCAGACAGAAGAGTTTGAGAACTTCCTCATGTGTACTGCACTTAAAATCCACTGTCACTGCTTGTTTCCCTGTATCACCAGCCCCAGTTCCCGCTGTGGTTCCCCTGCACCCGTGCTCCTTCAGGAAGGTTTCGGCCACATTCTTCAGAGCCAAGCTGACTGTGGGCTCAGTCAGCGAGCACTTCCTCCTGCAGACAGGACATTCACGCCTGGCTTTCTTCTTGTTCCAGAACTGCTGAAGACAGGCCCGACAGAAACTGTGGCTGCACTTGAGCACTACCGGGTCCTTGAAGATTTCACAGCATATAGGACAGGAGAGCTCATCTTCCAGCATGGAGCCTGACTGTGACGAAACAGCTCGAGGTCGCAGGGACGAATTTAGCTTAGAACTCTGAAAGAAGGTAAGCTTTAAAGGCTGGGAGGAAGCGCGTGGGCGCAACGCCATGGTTCTTGATGTAGGGTGTGTGGGAGGGGGAGCTGCTGTCTGTAAGGAAGAAGTACCCTGCAGGGAGTCCAGAGAGCAGTCTGGACACAGTTTATGAGCAACCAAGGTTATAGAGCAACAGGGACTTGAAGAACTTGTTTACCTCGCTTGTAGTAAATACAGGACATGTCACCACCCCTCAGGGAAGCCTATTGAAAATTCTTCTATGTAGAAAAAAGGTCGTAATAGTGAACCAAAGTTAAACTTTAAGCTTTTTCCAGGTAAGGAAAGACACTTACCTGGTAAAAGGTCTGTTGTTCAAACTAGAACAAAGACATTGTGTACTCGCAAACCTCGAATAAAAATAGACTTGAAGTATAATAATAGCAAAACAAGTAATTTTGCTATTATTGTCATTCTTGGGACCCTCTGGAGCAGGAGATGTGGTGAGGAAGGCCAAATCCAAGCCAATTACAGATATAGATTTTACTCAATTATTATGCATAACCCTATTTCTCTGTTCCTTTTATTTATGCGTTTACCTTATTTACTATTACTGTCCTTATTATCATTATCTTTGTTATTATTAGTCATTCTTATTTAGTTATTTACGACATCTCTCCGTCTATATCTATATCTCCTCTCAGTAATATCATTTTCTAGACTGAATAGAGCCTCATACATCTCCATGTCTGACATTCATAGTTACAGAGCACATCCTTGCATGTGCAGCGCACGCACTCACCCTTATTGTTACGCATTTCATTAAATACAATGTTTTTTTTCCTTGTACTGTCATTGTCTCATCTTCATGCTTCAAATTTAGTGTCATGTTTAACAAAATATTTATTGTTAATTGCACTTATATTTGACGTTTGGTCTCATAGACTTTCTTTGCACTTTTTAGTGAGACTTGGCCTGTCTGCAATGTTTGAACTGCAGTAACTCATCTGAAAATCCTATTAAAGAAATGCTGAAAAAGCCCCTTTATAAAGTGGCAGGAACATCGGCGGCTCTTCAGTTTGTCACCTCCCTCCATTGAGGCCTGTAAGTGACCTCGCTGAGCTTGACCAGCGCTATCATGTTGACCCAGAGAGATCTTATTACCTGCTGACACCTAGTTCACTGTCTAGTTAAATGTCATTTATATTTCAAGAAGACGCAGGAGTGAGAAGAAACACAAACACAGAACGTGCTCTCGGGCACAGTTTCTCAGAATCTTGGAAAACACTACGGGTTTGTTGCAGTTTTGTCTCTTTGTTTCACAATAGTGGCTCAAAGTGTTGAATAAACTCATCCAAATCAAGATTTTTCAGACCAGACGCTACGGGGCAGTTTGTTGTGCTAAGTTGATGAAAGAAGAAACAGAAGGACGGCTGCTGTGTGGATGTTATTGCATTATATTTGGACACTGACACCGGTGTAATACAAAGCCATCAAAATAATGTATTCTCCTTAGTTTTACAGTATTCTAGCATCATAACCCATTTAGGTATCCATGAACTCTGAAAGAATCAAACAAAACTACAAAATAGCTTCATACATTTGGATATACAGAAAAGGCTAAACACCCAGAGTTCTTTAAGACGTGTGTTTACCTAAACCAAGTAGTTGGTGCAACATTGCCGCTGTATTTTTTTTCCTTTCAGTGAACACAAACGACTGCAGGAGATGAAAGTCATTTGGTCCCATTCTGCTTCAAGTGTTCTCATTTTTCAATCGCACGCACCAGAACGCAGACTTCTAACAAAGTATATAAAATGTAAGAAATAAGAAGAAATGAAGGCAAATCTATTGTCTTTTCTTTTCCTTTTTTTTTTTTAAACAACTACTCCAACTCATCACTTCTTTCTTCTTCTGTAATACTGCTCTCCATAATAAACTGCAACACAAGTTTTCATTATTCGTCAGTTATGCAAACCTTGTTTTAAAATAGACATCACATCACCTCATATAAAAAACACACCAGCTATAAAAAATAACAAGTCAACACGATCCACAAGCTGGAGACCGCCATTCTTCTCTTTCTCCTAGCACATACTTCAATGAAAGTAAATGAACACTGATTTTCTCAAACACTGTCAAATGTGTGAAAGACAGTCTGCACGGTTACTTCATTACATCATGGAGTGTGTTAACAGTAAACAAACACCTCTGGTCTTTTTAGTCAGGAGCTACAATTTACTATGACTTCTCTCCGAGAACACTTCTTTTACCTTTACTTAAAAAGAAAAGAAAGAAAATAAAAAGGAAAACCAGCAAATTCATTATGAGGAGAGAAATGTAACGGCACATGCTTGTAAAACTGATCCATCACAGTAACGTTTAGTGTTTCAGGACGACACTGTACTTCAGGGAGACCCATGCTTGTGCCATAACAGAGTCGCTCACCAGGTACAGTGCAATCCATGCTCACTTCTGCAGTTGGTTTACAGCGCGTGCAACACAGTGCAACAATCAAAAATAATAATTATCCATATCAATCTCCTCTGTGTCAGCCACTGTTTTGCCATTTCTCCCATTTTAGAAACCTGCCGTGTGTTTGGTCCACTGCCAGCAACTACAACAATGACATGCAGGTTCATGTGACGCAGTCGAAGGAAATGCTCGTTGGCGTGCTCGTATTTTCTGGGAATAGCTGGAAGACAAATAAAAGCACTTTGGAAGTCATCAGTCACCTTCCTCTCCCGTTTACTGGATTATCCTCATTTTTAAGGATGAGTCTCCCACGAACAAACAAAAAAAAAACTCAAAAAAAATAGAAAGAGTGCACAGTGGAATAAAAACAAACTCATGACGGTAGTGTTGTGGTTTTCTAGTAGTGCTCAATGTTGTGGGTGTAACAAACACACACGCAAAGCAGGTCGTTCTGCTTCGGTTCTGTCGTTAAACCCGCCCGACCTTAGCGTCTCCGATGGCGCCCCACACATCGAAAACAAACTCATCGGGGAAGGCAAAGTCTCCCAGGGTTTCATCTAAAGCCTCCGCAAACTCATCCGGGTTTTTTTTGTCTTTTCCCAGCTCCACCATGGTAGCCGCTGAGGGGAAGAAAAAAAACATAAGATCTTTTTTATCTCACATCACGCTAAGTGAGACACTCACAGAGCCATCGGGGACTCACACTCACCCAGCTCGCTGTCTCTGATGCCCATATAACTCTCGAGCAGGTCATCCACTTTCTCGATGGCCTTTTCCTCAAATGCAGAGGGCTAGAAGAACAGCAACGGGACATTTTATTTAAACAGTACAACCACCAGTTATTAGTTCACAGGTCTTGCAGGCATGCTCACCAGCTCCTCCACAGTGGCAGGCCCTTTAGAGCGAAGACGAAGAGTTCCTCTGCCAGTCCCCAGCTGAACCCCTGAAGCCGACCTAGACCCACCAGATCTCTGGCTAATCATGTCTACAAAACAGAATTAAACCTTTTCAGAAATAATTAAAGATTTTTCCCTCTGCTGCGGCAGTCTTCATCCTCTTTTTTACTCTCTACTTATTACTCCCTGAGCTGGAAAACTGAAAACAGTTCGTTTACCACTCTAGGTTTCTGTTTAGGACTTCTGATGTACTAATAAGGATGTTATTAGCACGATGAAATATATATTTGTAAGAGAGCAAGTGAAAAGGCCTAGAATCCTGGCACAAAAACAAACCTGAACACCCTGTGGGGTTGCTCTACATTAGAAGTGTCAAGTCACTGTTCAAAATAACCTTTATTTACCTCATATTAGGCCTTGCCACAGCCAAAAACTTCAAGCCTTTGTCTAGAACTAGCTGTTTGACCTGCCCTCCCCCTCCCTTTAAGCCAGCTTTCTTCTGATTGGCTACCCCTCATACGTAAAGGATGTCTCTTCCTCAGTGACATCCTACAGATCTAAGCGTACAAAAAAACCCTCAATGTGTTAAGAGCAGGCCGAAACCAGACTGTTTTTTGGGGGGGAAATATGCTAATGTAATTTTTTAAAAACATTTTTATCCAAATTCCCACCATATAAAACTATATATCTATAAATGATAGGAAAAAAGGAAAGCCCTAACAGGTCCCTTCAAACTGGGTTTTCAAGCATCTTCTTCCAGCACCTACCAAAGGCTTTAAGAGGCTCCACCAGCTTGATGGTGAACTCCTTTCCTTTGGGAAGCTCCTTCAGCATCTTGGCCACTTCGTAGTGTCGACAGCCAATAAGGCGGTGGCCATTAATCGACTCTATCATATCCCCCACGTTGATGACCTGGATCTGGTGGATGATGCTGCCCTCACGGATCCTCTGAAAAACCATCAAAAAAAAAAAATCCAATTCACTATTGAGCTCATCGCTTTCTCCCTACAGCAAGTAATTGATTCACTTTCATTCCAGGGTCATGCCTTTACCCGGGGGTGCTTGAGTCAATAAAAAAAACACTTTCTCCATCACTTAAACATTCCTCACCTTGATGAAAGCGTAGCCAGCTCCATTATCAGTGATCGTCAACCCCAGCGCGTCCTCCCCTTTGAACACCTCTATCTCCTTTCTCTGGCCTTTAATGTGGGCAAAAATAAAGTCCTCTAGCCCGATCTGACCTCCCAATAGTTTATCCATGTCCACCTTGTGAGTGTTCAGAGTGCAAAACATAACCTGTGAAGGAAGACAAACATCAGGTAAATTCTGCCACGAGCATATCAGGAGCAAATCTATAAATCCTCAAATCCATTAATGTCTGCAGGAAGACTTACCTCTGACGGTGGTATCCCAAAAGCCTCGCCAATCTTGGCGTAGAGCTCCCGCACGTTACTGAAGCCCTCGATGCGGCCTGTGGGGCTGCCGTGAGCGAGCTGGGTGTGGAAGATGAGGCGAGGCCGCATGCTGTTAGGTGGCGGCGGCAGGCCTTCGGAGGTGGCGCCTTCTCCCAGCCCGACGACCCCACCATCGATGCCTTCCATACCTGGCACATTGAGACCCGCGCGGATAGGCTCCGCTTCCTCGTTCTCAACCAGCGGGGACGCCTTCTTCCTTCTTCCCAATCCCAGTGGCATAGTAGTCCTATGAGGGGTTGCAGAGGGAGAGGAAGGGAGGATGGAGGCAGCTGTGGGGAGTTATGCTACAACCTTGACCAACATACACCTGCTCAGCTAAATCAGCTGCAGGTCTGCTGGATATGTATGTCACAGTAATAGTGTTGTCCTCTAGACCAGCTTGAGAGCCGTCTCAACCACACACTGTATGGATTTAGGAATCCACACATTAGAGCAGCTCACATAGCTGGATCTGTTAAGTCCAGCAGCCTCCAGTGGAAGGTTTTCAGCTGTAAAACAAGAGACAAGAAACTCTTTCATCTTTATACATGTACCATGGATTGTACATACGCAGTGGCATGCAAAAGTCTAGAGTCACAACTTATTTCTTTATTTTTTGTATCTAGGGAGCCAAAATTTCTTGTAACTTTGCACATTGGCTGTTTCTTTTTTCTGTAATTTACAGTCAAGTCCTTGGTTCTGACTATTTTCAGGGGGTTTTGTTTTGTTTGTTTATTTCTTAGC